GGCGAAAAGCTCGAAGGCCTCAAACCACCCACTTGCCCCTCTAGAATCCCTGACAGGGAACCAGGGTTTGAGGGGTGCCTCTTATTTGAGAAACTTCCAAGTGCGGACCAGCGATCTCATGATGCACATACATATTCACTTCGTCCTCCTCGAAGACATAGAGCTCCAGGGTGCAGCAATCTTCCTGCAGCGGGTGGGTTTAGAACTATAGTCCCCCTTAAGTAGATAGAATATGGCTTTGGGTAAGCTGTAATAAGATCCCCATATATACCATGTTCTATCTACTTAAGGGGGACGATAGAGTTAATCAAGCGTATAGGGTTTAGGTTCTAGCACAGTTGCCCAGGAAGCCCTGCTCGAGTGATAGGATCCCTCTTGTCCGAAATGCAGCAAACAAATGCATCGTTTGGAACGCCTTATAACCCTAAGGCTCCAAATAGCCCAATGTAGGTACAATCCAGAGGCATTGGGGCCCAACGTAAACATTGTTTATAGACATGGAGCCCCAGGGTAAGTGTTTGAGCGAGCCCGCCCTGTCTAGCTGTCGGATGAGAAAGTGGAATTCCCAAAATGGATTTGCCTCGCAGGAGGCTGCGACAAAGACATGATCGTCCTGCCGGATCTCCACATCACCTGCAGTCCAAAAGCTCCCCAAACCCCTGGGAGGATACAAGCGCAGATCCCCTGAAAATTTTATAAGGGTTATTCTGGGTTTGGGGCTAGGGGATCTCTAGTTTACTACGTAATCCCAATTTTTGTTGTTTTTCTCCTGGGGGATCCATTTTGCAGATCCATTTCTTGGTCAGGGCAACTGAAGCCCAACAGTATAGAAGCTTCTAGAGACGGGGGGTTCCTTGAGAAATGCGAGGGTCTGGGAATCTGGGGATTACATGGGGGTTATATGAATAATAATACTGGGATGAGAAAGTGCTTCTGGCCTGATGCGTTGGACAAATCAATGTAAACTACTCTAGTCTTCAGGGTAGGGCTGAGAGGATTACGGAGAATCAAATGGAGAGGAAGATGGGCAAAATTGGCACGCAGGTACTACAAGCCTTTATGTTGGGGAATAACAAGGCCCCCTACCCCCAAAATAAGGGTCCCACGACTAGCATGATATGATTCCTAGAGAGTCCTTCTTGCAGGGCTTCGGGTTACCTGAATGCACTACTATTGAGATTGTTGTCCCTAGCTGTTTCTCAGATAGACGAGGAATCGTGCCTGTGAGAAACGGCAACTTCAAAGATATCAGAAACTACCATTTATAGTAGTTTCCATGTTCTTTTCCATTATCCCTATATAACCCACAACATACTATGGTAGTTTCCATTTTTCCATTATCCCTTAAAACCCACAATAGATAACCCTAAACCCTATAACCAATCTCATTTCTAGAAGATCTCTATGACCTCAGTTTCCATTTCATCTTTCCATTTTCTATTCCATTTGATTCTCCATTCTTGGGGGCCTTAAACCCTGAATCCTGTATACCCTACATATATATATATATACCATATATACCCTATGTATATATATATATATACACACCCTAAACCCTAAACCCTATAACGTCAGTTTCCATTTAATTTTCCATTTTTCTCTCCATTTGATTCTCCCCATTCTAGTACAGAAATATATATAAATATCTATGTATACACATTATCCGTATATAACCCACAGTATAGTAATTTCCATTTTATTTTCCGATATTTCTATATAACTATAACCCACAATAGATAACCCTGAACCCTATAACCAATCTCATTTCTGCAAGATCTCTATGACCTCAGTTTCCATTTCATCTTTCCATTTGATTCTCCATTCTTGGGGGCCTTAAAACCCTAAAGCCTGTATACCCTATATATATATATACATACCATATATACCCTATATATATATATACACCCTAGACTCTAAGCCCAAAACCCGATGCCCTAAACCCTAAACCCTAAATCCCTAAACCCAAAACCCTATGATGAATATGCCTTCTGAGTCGGAGTCGGAGTCCGGATTCCCAGTCATGTGCGGATCTTTCTCCCGGGCCAACTCGCCATCAGCGTCGAGAACGGAGAAAAACTGCATTCCTGCGATGAAGGGGCTTAGGCTTTAGGGTTTTAGGGTTTTAGGGGTAAGTGAGTACCCCTGGTTCGAGAAATTTGTAGTTGTGGGTTGTAGATACCTTCTTATCCATGAATGCAAACATGCTCGGCAAGCTGCGTTTTCACTTTCAAGGGCGTTTCCCTTGCAGCATTTCAAGTCATCACAATGAGAAAATGATAAGTCCCCTACGGTTTTGGAGATTCCTGGGCTCTTTAGCTCCCCTTACTATATTGATATAGACTATCCCTAGCTCCCTAGCTCCCCTAAAAAGTATGAGTAGATAAACCAAAATCAAGTTCTGAGGCACACTTAAAGGTGGAACCCTCGGTGTACGTAGAACTGCCGCGAGAAACCCTACGTGGCGGACCTCAGTGGGACCATAGAGTCTGTAATATAGACGACTGACCCCCCAAATATTCGAAGGAATTTATCCTGGATCTCACCGCTAACACCCTGAGGTCCCCATGACAAAAAATGGAAAATTGTACCTGCCAATCATATACTTACCCCAAACCTGTACTACAATTACTGCTAGCCAACACCCCGAGTTGAGTACTAAGACCGTTACAGTTCATCTGGCAGTCGCTACCCATCCCAAAGCAGCGACTTTGAATTATGAAATCACATACTTGTGCATGTACACCTACATACAATCTCCACCGCTCCACATAGAATCAATGGTATATACGGCTACACCTAGACAACCATTAAAACAAAAGGGACCAGACCCAACCCCATTCCACAGCAGCGCAGCTTGCACCTCGCCTTCGTCCGCCTCGTTGTCGTAATTTTCCATGTCAAACTCCTGGGAGTTTCTCAAGATGAGGGGTTTTTCAGAGACCTTGGGAACGCATGAGGATTTTCAGCGGATTACTGGGGGTCCTCACTGGGAACTATACGGATCGTATTCTGAGAGGTATATCTTCCTAGAGGCAAGCGCATCCGGGAGCTTGTGATATGCCTGGATCGTTGCTCTGGGGTCTTGCTATGGATTTGTCATCCTGATGCTGGCTTGCCTGATTTAAGTTACTATAATAAGGGTATAGAGGGGGTCATTTCATAGTTGGGATATCTTCAGGAAATCTAAGGACATATTCAGGATTAAAGGGAAAATTGAGGGATCCGCCGCACCTCCAAGCCAGGAACAGATCCCCTGGCGAGCGCGCTGTTCGCATCTGCTGCCTCCCTCATGGCATCGTCATCCTCCTGCCAGAAGCTCTCCCCCTACCAGGTTAGGTTTGTTGGCCCTACAAAAATTGTGGCTTGAAAGTGGCAGTCCCCTTGCCCTAACGATTGGAAACTTAAGATTCTTGGAGGTGCTTCGTTTGGGGCGCTCGAGATGATTTAATGTAACTTAAGGGATGCCTGACCGAATGAAGATAAGGGCACGCGTGTCAGACGGATACAAGGTTCATATTGGAAAACCCATACGCAGGCCGTTTCCTAATAATTTCAGAACCTGAAATTAAACCAATTTGGTGGCAGCTTTACAGATAAACCACCATTTGAGCTACAATCTAAAACTCCTAGTATCCCCCTTAATTACCCCTGCAATACTCCATTATACATAATCCCCAATGTAACGCCCTGTAAGGAGTTTAGACTCTACATAGCTTATTTGGGGTGAGGTCAGGTGAGGTGGCTATAACTTGCCCAGCTGTAGGTGGTGATATGGCGTGAAATCGAAAGCCTAAACCCTAAACCCTAAACCCCGAACCCTAAACTCCCTAGCATGATAAGTGATCTGGTCAAATGCAGGACACTGTGTCTTCGAGCTGAGTGCATGGATGAGGGCCTGGCATGGAACTTGCAGTTCCGGCCGGAGTCGGGCCCTCAAATCCAAACCATTGAAACCCTTGGCCCATGGATTTTTTTGCGGAGACGTGCGAGTGGCCTAAGAAAACATACTTGGCCTGATTCAAGACTTACATGGCGTCCCTGCCTAAGAGTGTGTTTTTCTTGACTCGGCCAATCTTTGAACCCCGGGACTACGCTTGCAAGCCTGCAGCAACCCCGCCTCATTCTGCGTGGCTCCGACAAGGCGTCCGTTGCAGCTCCCTCTTGGAAGCCAGGACACACATGTTACAGCAGTCTTCTCCATGGCTGGGCACTCTACTGAATGTTACCCTGCTGTGATGATGTGACTTTTCATTTTCGTTGGCCACATGATTTTTTGGCCATGGCCAGGGATGACTGCTCTGCATCTTTTGATAGGAGCAAGTGCGTTCAACTTTTGCTCAGGGCATTTGTTCCAGGACGTGAAGGCCTGCCAGCATGAAACCTACTTCGTGACTCCGCAACCGGAGTCTCGGAGCCGCCAAACTCAGAAAACCTGTTTCTTACCAACCTGCTACGTGGCTGCTTTTTGTGAACAACTTCCTCACATCTCGTACGAGTTCTTGCTCTGTGCCGCTCGAGCCTCGTGGACATGGTCAGCATTGAACAAACACTCCGGCTAGGCCTTGAATTACATCAAGATTTGCATTCGTTGAGGTCATAGGGCATCACTTGAAGTTAGCGACCCTAAGAGTCGGACAACTCCAAGAAAAAGACCTGTACCCCTGTCCATGCGTGAATGTGGACATGGGAGACTACACATCCCTAAGCACATCGAAATGATGTCAATGGTAAAACACATGAAGGCCATCAGCTGCTGCCAATTTCACATTTCTACCTTCCTTCAACCACTGCACGTCTACAAACAAATCTCAACTTCAGCAAGGCTGTGCTTTAGGATAACCATCTTCAATGCCTATCCTCAGCAATCCTCAGGAGGCCACCGGCCATAATCAACCAACATTTGGGTGGTTGTCAAAATTGTGGTCCCTTTTTGGGTCCCTGTTATAATACGGCACCTAATATTTAGGGTACCCAAAAAGGGACCATAATTTTGACAACCACCCATTTGGACTTGTGTGAACTCCTGCCGTCTTCCCAACGTCTCATTTTTGCCAGCCAGGGGGAGTCGAATGATTTCTTTACAGGGAGCTGCGCAGTTCCCGAAAGCTCTGCTGTGATGCCTCAGTACCTTTCGCTGTTCGTCCAGTCTTGACAGCTGCTCGTGATGCATGTCGATGTTACAGTCTCAGGGACAAGAAAGACATGGAAAGTATCTTGAGATGCTGCCGGTAATGACAAGTATGGTTTTCTTGTGGTAACAATGACGGAGGGGCTCCCTGAAAATACAAACGTTTTATCTAGCACATCTACCGAACTTCTGATCCTATGAGGTTGGGGTGTTGGTGTCCGCAACTTTGACAAGTAGTGAAGGTGGCGCTGACGCAGCCCGCAGACTGAGTCGGAGGCATGAGGAGCCGGATTTCGTAGCATAGTGCCAAGGCGGCCAGGCGGTTATCAACACTAGGGTTCTCAATGTCAACACAACCATTGTTGAATTCCTAGAGGACCTGAAACAGAAACCGTGAATGACTCATGTTGTCTACATAGACTGGGCAGCCAAGCCAGACAAAGAAAGGAACTGAGTTCTGCCGGCAAGGACGCCGTGGTAGGGTCCGGGCAAAAGATCATAAGCATGGCCCGAAAAAGACTGCTTCAAGCAGTCTTCAGGGTCCAGGTTTTAGGGTTTCGGGCTAGGGGGTCGTGGGATGGGGTAGAAATTTGCTTCAAACAAATTCGAAGTACAACTCCCGCCAGGCAGCGCTGATGTCCTGCGACTGCGAGGTTGCTGCTACTGCTGTTGCTGCTGCCGTGCTGTGACGAGCTTGAGACTGTTCTTGTGAAAGCCACCGAAACATGCAACTCCCAATAGATACCATCCTGTATATTACCGAGACAGCCATCTATGTCCTCCCCTAAACACTGAATCCTACACAGCATGCCGGACTGCTACCGAGGAGCAAGGTAGGCCTTGCGGAGCCTTTACTACAGCCTGTGTAAACATAATGGGGTACATCGTACTGAAGATGCCCCCCACTATAGTAACTTCACTAAGTTCCTTAAATGCAACCCAGTAAAGCAGCCCAGTTCAAACATCCGCGAAAACTGAGATGCTAGACTTCCCCATACCTCTTGTGTACCCTTATGGACCCTTAGTATATCCTGAAGCAAGATAATGGCACATACCAAGCGCAAATGCTTCCAATACGTAAAATTACCTGCATTCCAGCGGTTCGCTTCTTTATGATTTCACGTCCTCGTCCGAGCGCGAAGTGCCCTCCAAGCGCTCCTCTGGGTTCCAGGGGCATTTATCCCTGCTTGGACCTGATTGACTTGTGTATTTTGATTGTCTACCACAAGCCCTGAACCCTCATGCGGGTTGCTAGGTTTCCGGCAGGCTTGGGTGAGATCTTAACAACACACCTGACTTGAGACGTGTGACGTGTCCAAAAGCTGGTATCTAAAGTGTGAGCCATGCACTTCTAGCTCCAGTACCTAAATTGCAACAAGCAAGGCCTCAATGAATTTGAGCTCTGCCCGCTTCACATCCACGTACCTGAAGCGCATGTCAGTCGGCTGTTTGGAGGTTTAGAAAGCCTTCCAAGCACCCCACCAGGGTGTAGGGCTGGCCCCCACTTACCGGCCATTAGACGACTGCCTCTCGAATGAAGACTCCGGTCATGACCCAAACTTGTGAGGTACTGTATTGACGGCCGCATCATGTAGAGCCCCTGCGAAGGGTCAGTAAACTTGACAACTGCGCGTTCAAGTGTCTGGAAAACTTCACTTCATTATCTACATATTGACATCGCGGTTTCTCAAAACGGGGGTGCTCAGGACTTCTGAGGATATATTATGGGGATTACGCACGGATTCTAGGGACAACTCCCCCAGGGAAGTTTTGGTCTTTGCTACGAGAAGCTACCGGCTACCCACATTTCTGCCGCCGAAGTTCCACCGCACAAAGCGCTGGCCCAACTTTGAGACCTCAAGAATTACATGGCGTTTTGGGTGGATGAAGGTAACAGTCTTACTGTCTGCGGTCTTAAGTTCCAGGATTTGGCAATTTCCCAAAATGAGGGAACCCCAATATAGACCCCAAGATATTGCAATCCTTCTTATGGGAATCCCCAGAATGGTGCCCCTAATTTTAGGGAGCCTCCTTTCAGGGTTTAGGGTATAGGGTTGCGGGGTTTGAGTTTGTAGCCTTTAGATCTTTCTTCCCTTATACTTCAACCTGAGCATCCCCAAGGAGTGTCACATAAATGTAATCACCTGGGCTATAGTCTCTAAGCTCCTAGTATCACCCTTAATAAACCCCATACTACACAAGGGATAATCTCCTATATAACCCCGCTGTAAGGAGTTTAGACTATAGCTCACCTGGCTACGTATGTGAGTCGTGAAGTCACGAGATGCTGACAGCGCAATGCAAGCAAAGATACTTGGGCCATGGCTTGGGAGTCAGGGAATACATTGGGGTTATGTAGGGATAATGGAAAAAATCGGGGTGCTTGCGCGCTTAGATGAGGAGGCTAGCAAGTAGCCCTGGAACAATTTCATCGCAAATCACGTGGGCCAAAGCACCAAAATTCAAAATACATCCTGGCACCTGCTACAATCTAGACATACTGCGCAGGCTTTTCAGCAATACGAAGCATGCCAAGTAAAGAATCTGAACAAATATAGTGCAAAAGCCACCATGAACCAACAAGCATAAATGTAGGGCCAGTATAGGGAAATGAGCCTAAGCAGACCGTTCAAACAACACAAAGTGCATCCACTTTGATGTCCTCCTTCTGGGAGAAAGAGCGGGCACTGCTCCCAAGGAATGATTTCCGCAGAAAGGCCCACGATTTAGCACGCTACACGCTAAACCATGCATACCAAATCTATGGTACGTTCCATTTCTTGTTTCCTGCCCCTGGTTCCCAAACCCCATGTGTATATATATATATACACATATATATATATATTGTATGTATCTATATATATATATATGTATATATGTACTTAAACCCTTGATTTGGCTGGCAACCCAAGGGCCAAGTAGTTGTCGGCTTCGAAAGCCTGGAGAGCTTCATCCAAAGAGGTAGGAAGCGCCACTGCGCCATCCGCCTGCTGGGGACATGACTTGGGAATAAGGGAATCTATTGTAGGGTTTAGGGTTTAGGGCTTGGGATTAATCAGGAATAAAGGAATATGATCCATATATAATACCCATGAAAGATGTTCCGTTATTCCCTGTTAGCTCCCAGCAAGTAAATCTTCCTCACAAAATCATCATCAGGCTTAGGGTCTAGGTCGGCCAGGATTTAGGGTTGGCCGTTTAGGGTTTGAGTTTGAAATTGCAGGTTGGGGTAGGGTTTGGAGAGCGTCTAGTCTGTAGGCTAGGTTGGGGTTTAAGGTTAGGGTCGATGGTTTATGGTATGCAGAGGGAAGACTTAAGGTTGGCCCTTCCTGAGTCTTGCCGGTGCATCTCGCAGATCAAGAGTAAGTACACGGTTTTGGACTGAAACATCTGCACACGTCTGTAAATTGGCGGGTCCTGTTACCATGCTGAGGCATACCAATGGGGTGTGGCGCTGCCTTGAACTGAAGACCTAGGCGCTGAAACAAAGTGTAAAAAGCTAAAAGTCGCTGGGCTGCTTCCATAAACAGTCATTCACACTCAACCGCGGCTGCAGGAACCTTGGCTGGGTACGTCAGGAACAATAGTCTACGCCGCCTGAGAACTTTGGGAACTACCTCAGGATGGGCCAAGCAACAACATGTCACACATGAAGACGAGTATGTCAAAACGATCGCAGCTATGCCGGCAGATTTGTATCTCATACATGATAGCAACAGCAGTAGAGAGCAACCGCTCTAGTGGCAGCGGCGACTGTAGTGGCGGCAGCATGAAAAAGAGCAGGAATTGACAATTATTCGCTCCTTACCAACCGGTTTTGGACAAAATCCACAGCAACGGCAGCATAACATCTTGTCGTAGTAAATTCGGTACTAGCAGGCAACCAACTTTGAAACCGCACAAGAAAGAACGTTGCCCGCCAGGAGAAACCTTGAGCCCCAAACCCCTGGAGGCCCAGAATCCCTAAGCCGGAAGCCCGACAAATCAGGAACCTTAAGCCCGCAACCCAAAACTACCCCAACCTGAGCTGGGTTGCTGTTCAGGAAACTTTAGCTACCATACTATGGAAAATTCTCTCTAGTTGTTCTAGTGGTGGTACTTCTGAGTTCCTTGACAGCCAAAGCAAAAATGCTTCCTTCAGCACTTATATATGTAGTTTCAACTTCATTTTCCAGTGACTTTTCATTCAATTCTCTATCATGGGGGCAATCCCTACTTGATGCCTACGGAGCCACTCTACCAGGACCCTCCTTGTACCCTTGAACAGGGGTATATGGTCCCTAATAGTGGGTATTTAGGGTATAATAGAGGTTAGAAGGAGGGTCTAGGTATAAACAATATACAACCCCTATATGGTCCCTATTGAATTCCCATAGAATCCCTTTATATGATCGCTATACAATCTTCATGAAGCCCTAAACCCTAAA